GCCGCGATTGGACGAAACTAGGAGGTGGGCGGGGTTATGGCAGCCGGCGGCCAGGGCGACACCTGGCGGATCCCTGAGGCCATTTCTGTGGTGGGAAAAGGAAGGTTGGGGCTTCTGAGGTCCCATCACTGGATGAAACAGCTGGCAAAAGTTGATTTTAGTCAAACGATCCGGACAACAGCGCACCATGGGGCTGTTCTTCTCCTCGTTCTTTTATTTTTATATTGTGGTTAAAGAAAAAACATACGCAACATAAAATTTAGCATCTTAACCATTTTTAAGTGGACAGTTCAGAAGTGTTACCTGTATTTACAGGTTTATGCACAAGATCTCTAGAATTTTTCATCTTGCAAAGCTGAAACTGTTCGTTGAGCAACTCCCCCTTATTGTTATCATAATAACAACTTAACATTATATTACAACCAAATTCTAAAATGTAGGGCACAAAAAATTATGGGAGAAATGACAGCAGGCACTGAAAACACTGATTGATGTAGTTTAAAAGCTGACTTCACTCCCTTTCTATTTAAAATCTACTCTGGAGATCATTCAGGGAAGGACAGCACCTTTCTTTCTTTATATTTCCAGTGCTTCACTTGGAGTCAGGCACATAGTTAATGATTAATCCATGTTTAGTGAATGAACGGAGAGAAGTTGAACAAATGAATAATTGTGAATTGTTTCATTGATTGATGGTTCACCCCTGTAAAACCGTATTCTAGCCCTTAGAAATGTCTTCAAATCTCTGTTGTGAATTGTTGACTGAGATCAGAAGCAGCCCATAGTACAATGCTGTATAAAACTAATGGAGCTCTTTGTAACAATAACTTGGAAATAAAGACGTTCAGGGGCGCCTGGGTGGCTCAGTCCGTTAAGCATCAGACTTTGACTCAGGTGTGATCTCACTGCTTGTGAGTTCGAGCTCAGCGTCGGGCTCTGTGCTGGCAGCTCAGAGCCTGGAGCTTGCTTTGAATTCTGTGTCTCCCTTTCTCTGTCTCTTCCCCAGCTCACACTCTGTCTGTCTCTCTCTCTCTCAACAATAAATAAACATTAAAAAAATTAAAAAAAAAAAAAAAAGAAACAGAAGACATTCATATTTAGCCAAGATAGAGTAGAAGATGCACTGGCAGAATTTAGTCTCCCTCCTAGAAATGATGTTGTTAACCGGAAAAGCCGTTTTGTAAAATATGACAATAAATGTAAAACATATTTTTTTCACCTTTAATGGCTCTAAAAGATCATTGTTTAGATTTTTTAAAAATATTATAGGGTTTATAACAAATGTAGAACTAAAATACATATGACAAGAATGGCACAGAAAGTGGAGGTAGTAAATCTGTTGTAAGGATCTTATATTTCAGGGGCACCTGGCTGGCTCAGTCGGTAGAACATGTGACTCTTGATCGTGGAGTCATGAGTTCAAGAGCCACCTTGGGGGTAGAGTGTACTTAAAAAATTAATAATAATGATGAGTAAATAAATAGTAAACATTAAAATTAAGGATCTTATACTTTATGTGAAGTACTTTAATAGGATTTAAAGATCGATAGTGATAAGTTAAAGATTTATATTGTAAAGACTAGAGCAACTCCTAAAAAAAGTGAAAAGTAGAATAGCTAATCAGCCAATAGTGGAGATAAAAACTGAGCTGTAAGATATAATCAATTAGTCCAAAACAAAAAAACAAAAAAACCAAACAGGATAAAAGAAAAGAGGAGCAAAGAACAGATGAGACAAATAGAAAACCAATGAGAAGATGATAAACTTAAGTTATACCCATTTCAGTAATTAGATTAGATGTAAATTAGTCTAAGATTTAAAAGGCAAACATTGTTGGACTGGATTAAACAAGACCCTACTGCATGCTGTCAGCAAGAAATTCCCTTTAACTAAAGACACATAGGTTAAAGGTCAAGTGATGGAAAAGATAAACCATGCAAATATGAAACAAAAATCAAGTCAGAGTGGCCACATTACTATCAGACAAAGTGGATTTCAAGACAAAGTGCTGCAGACTGAATGTTTGTGTCCTCCCCAAATCTTAGGTTGAAGCCCTAACCCCCCAGTGTAGCTATATTTGGAAATGGGGACTGTGAGGAAGTAATCATGATTAGATGAGGTTGTAAGTGTGGGGCCCTGATCCAATAGGATTAGTGTCCTTATAAAAAACACCAGAGTACTAATCTTTCTCTCTCCACATGTACACACACATTGTGAACGCATGGTAAGAAGGCAGCCTTATGCAACCCAAGGGAAGAGCTCTCATCAGCTACCAACCCTGGTAGAACCTTGATCTTGGATTTTCCGGCCTTCAGAACTGTGAGAAAAGTAATTTCTCTTGTTTAATTGTGGCATTTTGTCATAGCAACCTGAGCAGACTAATGCGCGAAGGATAAAGAGGGATATTTCATAATGATGAGGGGATAAATTCATCATGATTCACAATAATTGTGAATGCATCTTATAACCGAGCTTTGAAGTATAAGAAGGAAAATCTAATAGAACTAAAAGGAGAAATAGACAATATTATTATTATTGTTGGAGATTTTGACCTTCCTCTCTCAATAGTTGGTAGAATAAAGTATACACAAAACCAGTAAGTATAAAGAAGTCTTGAGCAAAACTATCATCCAGCTTAACCTAACTGACGTGCAGAACACGGGACCTTGCAACAGCAGAATACACATTGTTTCAATGGCAACAGAATAATCAATAAGATTGATCATATGCAAGACCATAAAACAAGTCACAAAACATTTAAAAGATTGAAGTCATACAGGGGTGCCTGGGTGGCTCAGTCAGTTAAGCATCCTAATTCGGCTCAGGTCATGATCTCCCAGTTCAGGGTTCAAGCCCCGCATCGGGCTCTGTGCTGACAGCTGGGAGCCTGGAGCCTGCTTCAGATTCTGTATCTCCTTCTCTCTCTGCCACTCCCCTGCCATGCTCTGTCTCTCTGTCTTACAAAAAAATAAATAAAATGTTTTAAAAAATTTAAAAAATAAAGATTGAAATCATACAAAGTTTGTTCTCTGATGTCAACAAAACTGAAAATCTTATCTTGATTATCAAAAGCAAACTAGATCACAATAACAAAAACCTATCTGGAAAATCTCCAAATATTTGCAAATTAAACAATTCAGTTTTAAATAACCCATGAGTCAAATAAAAAACAGAAAAGAAATTATAAAATATTTTGAGCTGAATTAAAATAAACACAGAAAATATCAAAATG